ACACACCTGATGGTACCCTTTGTGAAGGTGATATCGAATATCTTATCGGTTTGTTGGGGCTGACGAGTGTAATCCATTAGGAACGAAAGATCTTTGAGTAGGATTAAGATATTCTATAAGTTTCAACATCAAATAAAAGCAGTTTACATTTTGATCAAAAGGACACGTGGCGTGCGAGTTATCTTGATCGTTGATCACTGATCACTAAGAGTTAGTAACACCTCCTTGAGGTAGCTACTCTTGAGCACTGAGTGCTGTCGATTCACTGAATCGTTTGGTTTTCTGGAACATGGACCATAAGCGTTACGCTTGTTAAATCATTGGGTTCAGTTCTTTAGCACTAACTTGCTCTTTGAGCGTTAAGTCTTCCTCTGACTTAAGAAGCTGTGTAGCTCCGCCACACTTGGTAGCACTAGTAGCCAATCTACGCCTGAGTCTATTAGACTGATCCTCTGTGAGGATGGAAAACTCTACTCCCTCTGAGGCTTAAAAGGTCGCGCTTAATAAGTTGACCGCATCTTTGGGTCCAGAGTGCGTGGAGTTGTTTGTCTCACAATGACCTGAGGTGCTTAATGCACGTGTTGAAAGCTTCATGCAGTATGAAGCGACCCTTTTAGAGCAGGTCCAAGACCAAATAGCGTCGACTATGCCTACACGCTATGTGTCTGCTGTACCAGACGAAGAGGTTAGGTCTCTTCCACTTAGAGTGGAACTTAAGAACTACTCCGGTAAGGAGGGTGTGAACCTCATCCTCTGGATCCGTAAGATTGAGATGGCCATGACATCAGGCCTGATCACGATTGACCATCAACAGGTCTCGCTGGCTATCTCGAAGCTCGATGGAAGAGCTAGAGAATGGGCTTCGACGTGTAGCACGTCGGTGGACATAGCGTTTCGCTCATGGGAGTCGCTCAAGTCACAATTGGTACAGGTGTTTTCTCCACCTAACCAGGCTTACCGCGTGCGGTCACGCTTTTTGGCTCCCCGCCAGGGTAAGAATGAATTATCGGACTATGTCCAAGAGCTGCGAACGCTCATGGCTGCAATGCAGTTTTACTCTCTGCTCGAGACAGTTCATGTGACTATCTTCGTGGAAGGTCTGCGTACTGGAATTGCCAGAACCGAGGTTTTTCGGGTTCACCCCTCTACGTTCGAAAAAGCCGTGGGAATCGCTCTTAGTGCTGAGCATTACGTCAAGTCGGCCAGGCTTGGCTAGAATGGGTGCAACCCTAGCTCTGCGAGAGCAAACTCCACAAGTGGTCCGGCCTTAAACAGACCGGAACCGATGGATCTCATCTGTGCTGAAGATGAAGGCGAAGTTGAACTTCAATCTGCTGAGCAGCAACGCGTCGTACAACGATGTTTAACGTGCAACAGCACTAAACAATTGCAGCATGGTAACCCTTTGCGTGAACTGCGTCAGGCTACAAGACAACGTTCAACCCCGATCCATAAGTCTGGCATGGCACAAAGAAATGCCGAGGCCCAGTAGGCGCGGGTCAACTTACCGGTGAAGATTCGGAATCTGTCACACATTTAGAAGGTAAAGATAAACAGAGCTTAGCCCCAAAGAGCTCTGTACCTATTGGTATGGAGCCTGGCTTGTTAGTCGCCGAGACGAAAAAAAAGGGCTTTGAGAGGCCGTGGTCGATATTTTTCGACTTTGGAGCGTCTTGCAATTATTCTCGACGTCGTTCGCTTCATGGAATTCAACAGTATGCCGAGGCGCTTACAGCGCATGAGGGTGATTCTTTCACGGTTCGTTTAGCGACTGGAAGTCGTGTTACTGTGCCTAAAGTTCCATTGAACTTAGGTTTAAAGTTTTTAGACTTTGACAGTATTGAGCGCTGTCTTGTCCTAGATTTAGACTCGAGATATGATCTCATCCTAGGTATGGCTTGGCTTGAGCGCCATGATCCAAGGATCGATTAAAGGTCTAAGACTTAAGGCGCCTCGCGCAATGCTCCTAGCGAAGTTTTGGAGAGTCTTGAACCCAGCTTTGCTAGGCAACAGAAGCACTATTGGCGCGAGCCTTTGACAGAAGATGTCAATGTGCTGGAAATTGGAATGTTTGAGTTATTTAACTCCAACGTTAAAAACGTAAGTTTCGAGCCTAGCTCGTCTGAATCTAGTGAAACGGCACGTACTCCGTTGAGTGTTACTCGTTGTGATAACGAGTCACTGCATGCTGAAAGCATGGTTGGCCTAGGGCCGAGTGATCAAGGATGTGATTCCTTTGATGTGTGTGTGGTGGCACGTGAAACTACACCGAGTGCGGTCGGCCGTGAGAGCACCGCACTTAATGTCGGTAATTACACTGCTGGCCATATGCCATTCAGTGTGGGCGGCCGCGAAGGCACGACACCTAATGACAGTAATGAAATTGTCGGCGATACGCCATTTAGTGTGGGCGGCCGTGAAGGCACCACACCTAATGTCAGTAATGACATTGTTGGCGATACGCCATTTAGTGTGGGCGGCCGTGAAGGAACCACACCTAATATCGGTAATGGCGTTGTTGGCGATACGCCGTGTATTGTGGGCGGCCGTGAGGGCACCACACCTAATATCGGTAATGACATTGTTGGCGAGAAGTCCTTCAATTTAGGGCTAGACCCGCATAATACACGTAGAGTGGCCTGTTTCAATCCACTGGGTGAAGTGTTCGAGTTATGTAACACTTCACCGGATGTCGGTCAAGACAAAAGCTCTCGTATAGAGCGTACTATGGTTGGTAGTATCCATGGGGACAATATTGTCCCGACCCCTAAGGGGTGTAGGGTCTCGAAGAGACGATCGAGACGCCGGGTAGCAGCTTTTAAGCGCCAGGCGTCCTCACAGTCACATAGTGATAATAGTAATACACTATATACACTTGTTAATGGAGTGACTGGTCAGGTTGATGGCAGTGTTTGCCTTGAAACCCTTCAATCTTTGGACGCTCTTTGTGAGCTAGACAAAATGTCTAATTGCGAGTTTAGCCAGGCCTCAAAGGCAGGAGAGTTATCCGAATTAGCGGTCATTAGACCTGATGCTGAGTTGAATCTTTCCTCGTTAACGGATGAGTCTGTCCTAGAGGATACAAAGGCGGTACTTAGTTCACGAAGTTGATCTTCGATCCTTATAGATCCTTTGGATCCGTTCTATCCTTTAGTTAAGGAATTTCAAGATGTGGTGTGTCACAACCCACCTTCTGCCTTACCTCCCGATAGAGGTGTACGTCATGAAATTGACTTAGTTGCAGAAACTGAATACTGCGTATCACGGCAGTGGCCTTTGCCTAAAGAACAGTGTGACGTCATTGACGAATTCTTTTGTGATAAGCACGCGGCTGGAATGGTTCGTGAGAGCAAGTCTTCCCATTCAACACCGACATTTGTGTCAAAAAGCCAAATGGCAAGTAGCGCATTGTGCATGCTTACGATAGGCTTAATGCAGCCACTGTACCGGCGTAGACGCCTTTTCCTAGAAAGGATATTCTTCAGAACAATATGGCGGGATGTACATTGTACAGTGCACTCGACTTAGTCGATGGTTATTACCAACTGCGTATGCGAGCAAGTGATATTCCACTAACAGCGATAAGTACTCCGAGCGGTATGCTCTGGGAGTGGCTCGTTATGCCACAAGGGCTGTCTAACGCCCTTGCTACGTTTAATCGGCTGTTAACACAACTATTCAGACCTTATCGAGGCTATGCACAAACGTACTTTGATGACATTTTTGTCCTTAGTAGTGCAATGAATGGGCGATCAGATGTGGATGACTACATCGATCATTTACGAGCGGTGCTCGAGTGTATGCGAACGAATAAGTTGTATGCGAACGCATCGAAGTGCATATTTGGTGCAGAAGAGATTCTCTTTCTACGGTGCTTCATTGGGAAGCGAGGCCTTCGAGCGGATCCCGCTAAGGTGAAAGCCATAGTCGACTGGCCGGTTCCCAAGAACCAAAAGGACTTGCGTAAGTGGCTTGGCCTTGCCAATTACTTACAGAAGTACAGTGCAAATTACGCAGATATAACTCGACCATTGTCCAATCTCCTTAAAAAGGATGTGGATTGGTGTTGGGGTAACACCGACCATAATGCTTTTGAAGCAGTTAAGGAGAGTCTCCTTTATGCGTCAATATTGGCTTTGCCCGATCCTGATCGGCCTTTCAGTGTCGTCTGTGACGCATCTGACTTCGCCAGAGGCAGTGCTCTGTTACAAACAGATGTCGATGGACGTGAGCGCGTCATTGCGTTTGAGTATCGACAGCTTAAATCTGCTGAAAAGAAAAATCCTGTTCATGACTAAGAACTACTCGCTTTGAAGTATGCTCTAGTCAAATTCAGAGTACATCTGCTTGGCTCAAAGCCTTTGTAATCGATACAGATCATGCGTCATTGTGCACTGCAACACAGTCTCCACATCTATCGCAGAGATCGGCTCGTTGGCTTTCCTTATTTGCCGAATATAACTTCGAGGTGAAGTGCAAGCCAGGTAAGCAAAATGCTTTGGCTGATGCGCTACCGCGTCGAACTGACTATGAGCTTGCTCATGTTACGACTCTTTTGTCGTCAGTCCCTGACTTAATATGTGCGGCATATGCCAAGGATGATCAGTGTGTATCTTTGCTACGTGCTCTTGGGAGCGATGAGTTTAGAGACTCGGACATCGAGTTGTCGGCACGTTTTTGTGCGAGGCTATATCGATATTCCATTGATAATGGCCTGTTGTGCTATCGCACGGATATTGAGGATAACCCTCGTATCGCTGTACCTCATGATGAGGAATCAAAGTATCGAATCCTCTATGAGGCACATGATACTGCTTTAAGTGTTCATCTCGGTCGTGAGAAGACTTATAGCTCGGTGAGCCAAAGTTATTGGTGGCCCAAACTTTAGAAGTGGGTGCGCACCTATGTGCGTACGTGCAAAACGTGTCAACGGGTAAAACCCTCGGCACATTCGTCGGCGCCGCTGGCTAGTTTTCCAGTACCTACTGGTCGTTGGATCCATGAGCACGGATTTTGTGTTTGGCCTCCCGAAATATTTGGAAGGCAACACTGGTATTGTGGTCTATGTTGACCGATTAAGCAAGATGGCTCACTTAGCGGCTGTGCCGGATAGCATTGATGCCGAAGGTACAGCAAAGCTGTTTATCGACCGTGTGTTTCACCAACATGGCTTGCCGGTGGCAATTATCTCTGATAGAGACCTCCGCTTCACTGGGAAGTTTTGAAAGTCTATCTTTAAGGTGCTTGGCACTCGGTTGGACATGTCCACAGTGGATCATCCGCAGACCGACGGTCAAACTGAGCGTTTCAACCGCGTCATCAACAACATTTTGCGCAGTATTTTCGCTGGTACGCCTAGGCGTTGGAGCTCAATGCTCCCTTTTGTTGAGTTTGCGTTGAATAACGCTGTTTATGCCTTAATAGGCTTTACTCCGTTCTACATAAACGGTCTCAGCCACCCTCGCGTTCCGTTAACGCTACCACTCTATGGTTCAGGACTTGGTGGGGGTGAGGTTGCCTATCGGCTTGCTGATATCATCCCTGCTACTGTTCATAAACAGGTAGGCGAGTTTCTCGCAACGCGATTAAATGTCTTAAGACATGTGCGTGACGCAATGGCTGATAGCCAAGATACCCAAAAACAACAAGCTGATGCCAAAGGCAGAAATTGTATTGAACGTTATGAAGTCAGAGACCAAGTACTACTCAATGCTAAAAATCTACCTATAAATGTAGTGTCTGCTGTCTCCAAGACAAAGTTGCGTCCACGCTTTATTGGACCGTTTACGGTCACGTCCAAGAAGGGACTTGCGTATACGCTAAACCTTCCGCGCAAATTGCGCACACATCCAGTGTTCTACGCAGGCTTACTTAAGCCGTGCCGGGATCATTCCCATGTGAACTCGGAGGCGCTTGCGCCGACGACAAGGGCACTGCCCCGGATTGCTGTAGGCGAATCAGCAAGTCCAACTGAGCCTCGCTCCGAGTTTGAGCTTGCTCCATCGCCTGAAGGCGGCTTTGCATCGCATCCAGCATGCACTGGGACTTACCCAAGGCCTCTTGAAGACCCCTCACTTCGAGAACCAATTTTTCGTGGGCCTCCACCGGTACACCGGCCGCCACCGACTTTGCTCGACGAGCATGGGTGTCGTCAATTTCATGTCGAGATACTACTAAAACGACGTCGTCGTCAGGGCCAATACCAGTATCTGGTAAAGTGGCGTGGGTACCCTGAGTCTGAAAACTCATGGGAATTTGAGGAACCCCTTCGTCAAGACTGCCCATATGCATTGGATGCTTTTGAGCATCGTAGCCATGGTCATCTCGAGACCGAGGCCGTTACCCACCACTAGTGGTGCGGGTTGGCGGGTTGTTGGTCACAGACTGACCAGCACTCGCGGCGACCTTAGTAGCCGAAGCATAGCGCGTGCGCTTGCGCAATTGGTCTCTGGCCTTAAGCTCGGCATAATCATACCGAAGCTTGCGTTCGAGACGCACATCCGCCGCATGGGCACTAGCCCTTAGAGCAAAAATGTTGCTGAGGCGACGCACATAGTGCACCCAATGGACGAAGGCATCGTCTTCTTCGCTCACTGTTTCACCTGAGAGCAAGAGAATGGGTATACCCTTGATCGGTGGAACCGGTGCACCACGTGCTTGCATGTCAAGGCGTGCCTTGTATTGACTTTGAGTCGTTAGGTGCGGCTCCAGGTACCTCTCACGAAGTGCCTGGCAGCTCACCACCTCCTCAGGAGTCTTAGTCCCATGGCCAATAACCCACGTTGCCAATGTTTGGCCGGCCGCTTGACGCAGACGTTCCTCCACACTAGGTGGGGTGAACACATAGTCACGCTGGCGTTCAAGGGTTGCAGCCATTTGCACATAACGCTGAGCGTTTTCTTCTCTTTGGACAAGCAATTGTTGTTGCTCATCGAGCGGGTTCGTGATGATAGTCTCATCAGACCCAGTTGCTGCATGCTGCGCTGGTGGCGCGCTCGCATCTCTACGTTCATAGAACGGACTTGAGGTATTCGAAGGTTGTGCCTCAGACATCGGTGAGTCGGACATTGTCCCTGTATCACCCTGGACACTGGTATCGCTACCATAGTCCACTGCCTCCTCTATATCGAGGTAGTCACACAGAGTCTTTAACTCGTTTGGTGATAAGGACATTGTGATAGAGCGTACGTTGCCGTGAGGTTTATCGTACGCACAATGTTCTCGCTCAGGAACACAAGTTTGATTGACGTTTTGGTAAACGTCAGTCTGGTGGGGGAGGGTGTAACGGGGTTCCACGAAATTATATGGTACTTTGTACCAGAGGTGTTACACACCTGAGTTTACCCCTTTGTGAAGGTGATAGAGAATATCCTTTTGGTTTGCGGGGGCTGACGAGTGTCAGCCATTAAGTACGAAAGATCTTTGAGTAGGATTAAGATATTCTATAAGCTTTGACAAAAACAAAATCAGTTCCCATTTTGATCTAAAGGACACGTGGCGTGCGAGTCGTCCCGATCGTTGATCACTGATCACTAAGAGTAAGCAACACCTCCTTGAGGTAGCTACTCTTGAGCACTAAGTGCTGTCGATTCACTGAATCGTTTGGTCCCCTGGAACAGGGATCTGAAGCTGTAAAGCTTGTTGACTCGTAAAATTGCATGTTCTTCAGAACTAAGCTGCTCGTAGAGCGTTAAGTCTTCCTCTGACTTAAGGTGCTGTGTAGCTCCGCTACACCCTTCATGAGAAGCTTTTTTTGGTTCTAGTTATTTCACCCCTTTAAGCTGCAGGATAGGATGTGGAGTGTTGAATTGTAGGATCTGAAATGCCTTGTGATACGCTTCGAGATTGAAAAAGTTGCTGCAACAGCGGAATATCGTGGACTTACACCGGTTCTGATCACCGTGTGTTAGCCATGTGGTAACGATATGATGTTCCTCAATGTAACCTGAAAAAAAAGCACATGACAAATTAACGAGCGAAATCGGTACAAAGCTGCATAAAACTCCTCATTACGTGAAAGCTGAATGCAGGATCGATCTATGTGCTGGCTTCGTCGTACATCATTGAACTCGAATGGATGGTTCATCTCGGTCAATAGGGTACAATCAACATGTTTAAGCTGTAGATGGTAGCTGGATAAGACGTGTGAGCAGAAGTGAATATCAATGTGGGCAACGCAGTCATGATATCGTGTTTCGCTCTTCTGGAAGGAAGTTGAGACGAAGGGATGTCCACAGGTGTGCTGCCGTTCACTCGTAGTGTACGCTATCATCACAGCGCACGCCAGTACATATTTGATTGCCGGCGCACAGGTTCCAATGGCACGGCAAAATATGATCCGTGAACCACCGCAAGTACCACGTATCGACAATGGCCTCAACAACGACTGCACGAATGAAACCGGCAATGCTTGGCATTCGAAGCATTAAGAGCAAAAGTGGAACCCAAAACGTATTGACAAGGGTAATGTACACAACTCCGATAGTGAAACTGTGGTTGACATAGCAACGAACCCGTCCACCGAACAACGATCAAATGGAACCGACTTCAAGGTCATGCCACCATGAGTAAGTGTTGATTGAGTGGATGTGTATCACGGTTTCAATGAGAGCATCCGTGCTGGAAGTTGTACTCACAAAGAGCAGATTGGGTACGAGTCTCCACGGACAAGACGGACAGCGCGAGAGGTATGACTTGTTTTTTAATGTGACCACCTACTCTGCAATTTGTTGATCGACCGCGTTTTGATTCTTATCACAATGCTGTCGTCGTACACAAGGAAAGCGACTGCAAAAAGTCGCATCAAGAGGCACAGGAAAAACGCACATTGCGACCAGAGTAGATGACACATGTCGACAATACACGAAAACATGCAGAAACACTGCCTTCAGTACTAATGAGGGATTGGTATTCAAAGAATGAACGAAGTCGTTGTTCCTCGACTACTGCTGGTATGGTCACAATGGCAAATGGGATATCGACGGCGGCTGAAAAGCTACGGAAACTCGCGACTTCCACACAACATCTGATCACCGACCTGAGCACCGTTGTGCATTCTCCTGAAGATGCGGGGTCCGCCAGAAGATCGCAATTCAAGTGGACGACAGTACCCGCCGGAAGGGTGGTGTCATGCGCGTATAGTATCGGAAGACTGGAAGGACCATCGGTTTCGTCTCGACTTTCTAGTCGTCAGTGGAAAAAGCATTCGCGAAAAAGAAGGTGAAAAAGACGGGAGTCGGTTCTAGAAAACAGCCACCTCAGGTGTATGACATTTTGAATCGGACGGTTCAAACGCTACTTTCGACAACATTCGATCGAAGCACTTCAACATCATCATGATCGGTCTGCCTCTGTCTGCACGCCAAGAGAGCGGCGACCCACGTCCCCTTTCATTTCCCAATTTGCATCCAACCGCACGATCGACCAGTAGCAACAACCCACACACGACAAAGTTACGCAACCATGTTTAGCTCGTGGGATCTCGTACGACCGCGCTTCTGGTACCCCATGTCATCTCTGGAACAGTCCATGATGGAGCTCGAGCACATGAGTGACAGCATGATGCGACCGCGCTTCCCTTTTGGGGGCGCGTCGAGAGATGCTCGCCACTCCAACTCCAAAGCACGTCATGTACTCCGGGAAGTCGACGGACGATGACGACTTCTTCGTCGACCTGCCTGTGGTGGCACACAAGTACAAGCCGACGGCGTTCCAACCGGTGCAAAACGCACCGCAACAGGATCAACAAGTATCCAGCACCAAGACATTGAAGGATGACGACCCGATGAGCCACTCGTTCTCGTCTTATTCGTTCAGTAGCTCGTCCGTTATGGACGACAAGGGTCGGCGAGTGACGACCACACGTCGCCGCTACGAAGACTCCACGGGTCATCTCAAAGCGGTGCATGAACGAGAGATCGACGGAAAGAAGATGCGCACAACTTGGCGACGACAAGGCAAGGGAGAGGATGAACAGCACGAGTCCATCCGCTCGAGCGGCAGTCCGGAGGAGTTTGAAGCACTGTGGCAGCAGACGCCATTCGGTGCGGCACAGAAGACGTCAGTGAAAGGCCAGCTGCAGGCCGAGTCAGAAGTTGATCGAGACGTGACACCGTCGATGACACCTGCGCTGCTGGCGGACACTACTGTCCATGAAAAGTCAACGGAGATGACATCGACGGAGAAATGCGCGGAGGTAGAGACAGAAAAGAAGCACAACTTGTAGTGTCCACCCCCACGATTGAACAATTGAATGGAGGTTTGTTCTTGTGAAGAAGAAGAAGCATTCGTTGGTGTTACCATTTGCATTGATGCGCTCAAGCGCCGTCTATCTGCAGGCAAGCTGCGAGTCGATACACTTGTCTGCATCGGACGGTATCCTCAGCCGATAAGGACACACACGAGTATCGAGATACGCGTTTACGAGTGTAAATGAATGAGACGTCCGACTTTTGGGTACCCGTTCGTGAGAAGCTTTTTTTCGCTTCTGGTGTCTCATCCAGTTAAGCTGCAGGATAGGAGGTTGTGGAGTGTTGAATTGTAGGACCTGAAATGCCTTTGATGCGCTTCGAGATTGAAGAAGATATTGCAGCAGCAGAATGTCGTGGACGTACATCGGTTCTGATCGTCATGTGTGGTATCCATGTGGTAACGATATCATGTTCCCCATTGTAACCTGAAAAGAAAGCACATGACAAATCAACAAGCAAAATCGGTACAAAGCTGTATCAAAACTCCTCATTACGTGAAAGCTGAATGCAGGATCGATCTGTGTGCTGGCTTCGTCGTACATCATTGAACTCGAATGGATGGTTCATCTCGGTCAATAGGGTACAATCAACATGTACAATCTGTAGATGGTGGCTGGATAAGATGTGCGAGCAGAAATAAGTATCAATGTGGGCAACGCAGTCATGATATCGTTTTTCACTCGTCTAGAAGGAAATTGAGACGAAGGGATGTTGTAGCGGAGCTACACAGCTCCTTAAGTCAGAGAAAGACTTAACGCTCTACGAGCAACTTAGTTCTAAAGAACTAACGACTTTACGAGTCAACAAGCTTCACAGCTTCAGATCCCTGTTCCAGGTAACCTAACGATCCAGTGAATCGACAGCAGTCAGTTCTCAAGAGTAGCTACCTCAAGGAGGTGTTGCTTACTCTTGGTGATCAGTGATCAACGATCAAGACGACTCGCACGCCACGTGTCCTTTTGATCAAAATGGGAACTGCTTTTATTTTGGTTAAAGCTTATAGAATATCTCAATCCTACTCAAAGATCTTTCGTACTTAATGGCTGACATTCGTCAGCCCCTACAAACCGATAAGATATTCTATATCACCTTCACAGAAGCGAACCCTCAGGTGTGTAACACCTCTGGTACAAAGTACCATGATTTCGTGCAACCCCGTTACACCCTCCCCCACCAGACTAACGTTTACCAAAACGTCAATCGAACTCGTGTACTCAGCGAGAACAGTGTGCGTACGATAAACCTCACGGCAACGTACGCTCCAGCACGATGTCCTCATCACCAAACGAGTCAAAGGCTCTGTGTGACTACCTCGGAATAGAGGAAGAGGTGGACTATGGTAGCGATACCAGTGTCCGCGGTGACACAGGGACAACGTCCGGCTCACTGATGCCTGAGGCACAACTTTCGAACACCCCAAATCCGTTCGCTGAACGTGGAGGTGCGAGCGCGCCACCAGCGCAGCATGCAGCATCTGGTTCTGATGAGACTATCATCGCGAACCCGCTCGATGAGCAACAACAACTGCTTGTCCAAAGAGAAGAAAACGCTCAGCGTTATGTACAAATGGCTGCAACCCTTGAACGCCAGCTTGACTATGTGTTCACCCCACCCAGTGTGGAGGAACGTCTACGTCAAGAGGCCGGCTAAACATTGGCAACGTGGGTCACTGGCCATGGCCCTAAGACTCCTGAGGAGGTGGTGAACTGCCAGGCACTTCGTGAGAGGTACCTGGAGCCGCACCTAACGACCCAAAGTCAATACAAGGCACGCCTTGACATTCAAGCACGTGGTGCACCGGTTCCACCGATCAAGGGTATACCCATTCTCTTGCTCGCAGGCGAAACAGTGAGCGAAGAAGACGATGCCTTCGTTCATTGGGTGCACTATGTGCGTCGCCTCAGCAACATTGTTGCTCTAAAGGCTAGTGTCCATGCGGCGGATGTGCGTCTCGAACGCAAGCTTCGGTATGGTTATGCCGAGCTTAAGGCCAGAGGCCAATTGCGCAAGGGCACGCGATATGCTTCGGCTCATAAGGTAGCCGCGAGTGCTGGTCAGTCTGTGACCAACAACCCGCCAACCCGCACCACTAGTGGTGGTGAACGGCCTCGGCCTCGAGATGACCATGGCCACGATGCTCAAAAGCATCCAAAGCATATGGGCAGTCTTGACGAAGGGGTTCCTCAAATTCCCATGAGATTTCAGACTCAGGGTACCCACGCCACTTTACCAGATAATGGTATTGGCCCTGACGACGACGTCGTTTCAGTAGTCTCTCGACATGGAATTGACGACACCCATGCTCATCGAGCAAAGTCGGTGGCGGCCGGTGTACCGGTGGAGGCCCACGAGAAATTGGTTCTCGAAGTGAAGGGTCTTCAAGAGGCCTTGGGTAAGTCCCAGTGCATGCTGGATGCGATGCAAAGCCGCCTTCAGGCGATGGAGCAAGCTCAAACTCGGAGCGAGGCTCAGTTGGACTTGCTGATTCGTCTACAGCAATCCGGGGCAGTGCCCTTGTCGTCGGCGCAAGCGCCTCCAAGTTCACATGGGAAGGATCCCGGTACGGCTTAAGTAAGCCTACGTAGAACACTGGATGTGTGCGCAATTTGCGCGGGAGGTTTAGCGTATACGCAAGTCCCTTCTTGGCCGTGACCGTAAACGGTCCAATAAAGCGTGAACGCAACTTTGTCTTAAAGACAGCAGACACTACATTTGTAGGTAGATTTTTAGCATTGAGTAGTACTTGGTCTCCGACCTCATAAAGATCAATGCAATTTCTGCCTTTGGCATCAGCTTGTTGTTTTTGGGTATCTTGGCTATCAGCCATTGCGTCACGCACATGTCTTAAGACATTTAATCGCGTTGCGAGAAACTCGCCTACCTGTTTTTGAACAGTAGCAGGGCTGATATCAGCGAGCCGATCGGCAACCTCTCCCCCCACCAAGCCCTGAATCACGTAGTGATAGCGTTAACGGAACGCGAGGGTGAGTGAGACCGTTTATATAGAACGGAGTAAATCCTGTTGAGGCATGAACAGCGTTATTCAACGCAAAATCAACAACAGGGAGCATTGAGCTCCAACGCCTAGGTGTATCAGCGCAAACACTGCGCAAAATGTCGTTGATGACGCGGTTAACACGCTCAGTTTGACCGTCGGTCTGCGGATGATCCGCTGTGGACATGTCCAACCGAGTGCCAAGAACCTTGAAGATAGACTTCCAAACCTTTTTAGTGAAGCTGGGGTCTCTATCAGAGATAATTGCCACCGGCAAGCCATGTTGGTGAAACACACGGTCGATAAACAGCTTTGCTGTACCTTCAGCATCAATGCTATCCGGCACAGCCGCTAAGTGAGCCATCTTGCTCAATCGGTCAACATAGACCACAATACCAGTGTCGCCTTCCGATTCTTTCGGTATGCCAAACACAAAATCCATGCTCATGGACTCCCAACAACCACTGGGTACCGGCAAACTAGCCAGCGGCGCCGCCGCATGCGCCGAGGGTTTTACCCGTTGACACGTTTCGCACGTACGCACATAGGTGCGCACCCACTTATAAAGTTTGGGCCACCAATAACTTTGGCTCACCGAGCTATAAGTCTTCTCACGACCGAGATGACCACTTAAAGCAGTATCATGTCCCTCATAGAGGATTCGATACTTTAATTCCTCATCATGAGGTACTACGATACGAGGGTTATCCTCAATATCCGTGCGATAGCACAACAGGCCATTATCAATGGAATATCGATGTAGCCTCGCACATAAACGTGCCGACAATTCTATGTCCGAGTCTTTAAACTCATCGCTCCCAAGAGCACGTAGCAAAGCTACACACTGATCGTCCTTGGCATATGCCGCACGAATTAAGTCAGTGACTGACTACTCCAGAGTCGTAGTATGAGCAAGCTCATAGTCAGGTCGACGCGGTAGCGCATCAGCCAAAGCCTTTTGCTTACCTGGCTTGTACTTCACCTCGAAGTCATATTCGGC